TTTTATTTATTTAATTGATTTACTTTTAAACTTTTTTGTTGTGAATTGAGTGAAGGTTGACAGAGCAGATCATTAGTTTTACATTCAACAGACTACACTGTTTGCATCACTATATGGTTGCATTCCTCACCATGTAACAACAGTTAACCTCAAGGTCAGCAGTTCAAAACCACCAGCTGTTCCACAGGAGAAAGATGAGGCTTTCTGCTCCTGTAAAGATTTACAGCTTCGGAAACCCTATACAGAGTTGCCATAATTTGGAATCAACCCCACAGCACACCACCACCAATGTGATGATCACTAGCCTGTCAGTTTGTCATACTGTGGTGGCTTGTGTGCTACTGTAATTCTGGAAGCTATGATACCAGTATTTTAAATACCAGCAGGGTCACCCATGGTGGACAGGTTTCAGCTGAGTTTCCAGACGAACTAGGAAGAAGAGACGGAATATTTCTGAATATTTAGTCACAGAAGACCTTATGAATAGCTAGCAGTGGATCATTGTCAGATAGCACCAAAATATTGAAACATGATGAAGAGCACCAGAATATTGTCAGATACAGTGCCAGAAGTTGAGCTCCTCAGGTTGGAAGGCACTCAAAATAAAATTGGGGAAGAGCTGCCTCATCAAAGTAGAGTTGACTGTGATGGCGCGAACAGAGTAAAGCTTTCGGTACCTTCATTTGCTGATGGGACACAACTCAAAATGAGGGGACACAGATGCAAACCTCAATTAATAAGCAGGATATGGACTGTACAAAGTATGAATCTAGGAAAATCATAAATTGTCAAAAGTTAACTGGAACACATAAATATTGATATCCTAGGCATTAGTGACTTCTTCATTGCAAATACTTTTTTTTTAAATAACATAAAAGGCAACTATAATTATGGACCTTACCATATGGAAGACAAGTTGACTATATCTGTGGAAAGAAATGGTGGAAAAGCTTCATGTTAACCTGCCAAAACAAGGCCAAGGGCAGTCTGTAGAAAAGACTATCAATTGTTCCTATATAAGATCAGGCTGAAGCTGAAGAAAATTTAAACAAGTGCACGAGAGCCAAAATACAACCTTCAACATATCCCATCTGAATTTAGAGATCATCTGAAGAAAAAAAAAAAAAATGTATTAGACGCTAGTGACTGAAGACCAGAAGAGTTGTGTGATGACATCAAGAACATCATACAGGAAGAAAGCAAAAGGCCATTTAGAAGACAAGAAAGAAGAAAAAGACCAACATGGAGTCAGAAAAGACTCTGGAACTTGCTCTCCAGTGTAGAAATGCTTAAGAAAATGGAAGAAATGAGGAGGTAAGAGAACTGAATAGAAAATTTCAAAGGGAAACTAGAAAAGACAGTCAAATATGACAACGGAATGTGCAAATATCTGGAGTTAGAAAACAAAAGGAAAAGAACGCTCTCAGCAAGGGAACTGCAGAAAAACGTCAAGCCTCAACTTGTAAATTAATGAAGGATTCTAATGGCAAAATTTTGAATGATGCAGAAATCATCATCAGAAGATGGAAGGAATCAAAAAGAGATGATCGACGTTCAACCATTTCAAGAGGTTAGTATATGATAGATATCATAGCCAATGACACTGAAAGAAGAAGTCCAAGGTGCACTGAAGGCATTGGCAAAGAACAGAACTCTGTTTATTCAAAGAACATAAGTTGAAATTTTTCAGCAAACCAATTTAGAACTGGAGGCACTCACTCATCTATGCCAAGAAATTTGGAAGACAGCTATCTGGCCAACTGATTGAAAGAAATCCATATTTGTTCCCATTCCAAAGAGAGGTGACCCAACAGAATGCAAAAATCATTGGACAATATCATTAATATCACAAGCTGCCACAGATTCAGGCTGGATTCGGAAGAGAACATAGAATGAGGTGTATCACATCAGATGGATTTTCGCTGAAAGCAGAGAATATCAGAAAGATGTTTATATGTGCTTCTACGCAAAGGCTTTCGACTATATGGATCATGACAAATTATGGAGAATGAGTATTCCAGAACACTTAGTTGTACTCATGAGGAAGCTGTACATAGCCCAAGAGGCAGTTGTTCGAACAGAACAAGGTGACACTGAAAGGTTAAATTTAGGAAAAGTGTGTGTCAGAGTTGTATTCTTTCACCACACTTATCCTATCTGTATGGTGAGCAAAATTATTCGAGAAACTGGATTATATGAAGAAGAATGTGGCATCAGGAAGACTCACAACTTTGCTTGCTGACTGGGAATAGGACTTAAAATACTGATGAAGGTCAAAGACCACATCCTTCGGTATGGGTTGCACCTCAGTGTAATATATGCATAACCCAAAACACATATCCTCAGCACTGTACCAATGAATAGCATCATGGTGAATGGAGAAAAGATTGAAGTTGTTAAAGACTTCATTTTTCTTTGGTCCACTGTCAACACTCATGGAACCTGCAGTCATGAAAATCAAATAACGTTTTACAGTTACCAGTTAACTTTTAAGTCTTTTGTAGTTATGCGTATATCTAGAGAGTCCTGGTGTGGTACTGTGGATTAATGCACTGGACGGCAAAGTCAGTTTGAACCGCAGGGTTGGTAGTTTAAGCTCACCAACTGCTCCTTGGAAACCCTATGCAGGGTCATTATGGGTTGGAACCAACTCGATGGCACTTAACACAACAACAACAACTATATATATATTGTTGTTATGTGTCGTGGAGTCGGTTCCAACTCATAGCAACCCTGCACTGGGTTTCTGAGGCTGTAAATCTTTACAGGAGCAAAAAGCCTCATCTGTCTCCCATGGAACAACTGGTAGTTTTGAACTGCTGACCCTGAGGTTAGCAGCCTGATTCGTAATCACTACCCTACCAGAGCTTCTTAACTATATATATATATATATACACACACACACACACACACACGTATATACTTTCCTTTCTCATATCTTTAGAAGATTAGTAACAATCAGTGTTAAAATCATAAAAACATAGTGAAACATGTAAAGCCAATATATTAGTTTTATAATAAGATACACAAAGTGTTATCAAAAGCGTATTTTGCCTATCACGTGAGGTCTCTACGAGTTGAAGTTTTCTGGATGGCCAACAACAACGATCAGCATTTTAATCAACACCAATCTTTGTTCAGAGCTGAAGCTTTACTCTTTGTATCTGCTAAAGGATAGGGAATTGGGCTGCTAACTAACTATAAAGCCATCAGTTAAAATTCACTAACCACTCAGAGGGAGAAAGATGAGGCTTTCTGCTCCTGTGATGATTAACAGCCTCAGAAACCTTATATAGCTCACCATGAGTCAGAACTGACTCCATGGCATACAGCAGCTGCGGCAGCTGCTTAAGAGTTCAGCTACTAATGAAAAGATTGATGGTTTGCACCCACCAGCCACTTGATGGGGAAAAGAAATGGTTACCTTTTCCCATATTGATTACAGCCTTGGACGGTTCTACTTTGTTTGATAGAGTCACTGTGAGGACCAAACCCAAAAGCCAGTCCCACTGCCATGGAGAAGATTCTGACTTACAGTGACCTTATGTAGAGTTTCTGAGGCTGTAAATCTTTATGGAAGCAGAAAGCCTCATTTGGTTTGTGAAACAGCAGGTGGATTTGAACTGCTGACCTTGCAGTTAGCAGCGCAACATATAAGCCTAGATGATACTAGCTCTGCTTGCTACTGTGACAGTGGGTTAGCTATTATTGGTGGGAGGTAGTTAGTTTCTGTTTTTATTGTTTATCTCTTTACCCACAAGTTGTTATATTTGATCCCATCAGGAATTAAACCAGGGAAAGGAATTGAGGTAGAGAGGCAAGCAATTTCTTACCCGATTATTGGAAAATGGCTTTGTTCTTTCTGATCTTGATACGTGGTTAAGGCTTTCTCTGTGTGTACTTTGTGGGGGCTTCGGAAGCCTTCACTGGGAGCTTTACTACCTACGACTCAAAAAGTTTTCCTTTTGGTAGTTCATACCACTAGCCTTCTAGGCCCTCAATCTAGTTTTCTTTTAGACTGTAAAACAGTAAGTCAAAATCCCCTTTTTATTTGTTTGGTGTTTTACCACCCTTCCAATGATTATCCTGGGTAGGAGTCTTAACCGCTTTATTAACATTTAATTCATATACCATAAAATCCACCCTCTGGAAGTACACATTCAGTAGTTTTTATTATATGCACAGGCTCGTGCAGACTTTATCACTGCCTAAATTTTAGAACATTTTTGTCATCTGGGCAGGATTTAAAATATTTCCTGGCCCTCTGTGTGGTCCTCCTTCCTTGCCTCTCTCCTCCCCACCATAGTGTAGTATGGTACCTCATAACTTCCTCACTCTGGATTTTCTCCTGTATTCTCTTTCCCTGCCTACTTCCTCACAGTGATGGCCTTCATTTCTTCAAGTGTGTATCAATCAGGCATTGGTCTCCTGTGTCTCCGCTAACTCAGAGAACACATACCAAGTGCTCCAGAAAGTCCTCTTTGAAGCCTCTTCCTTTGGGTTATGTGGAAGGCCGGCCGGCAGGCAGGTATCTCCCACACTTGGAGAGAAGGCATAAGAATCTACAGTTCACTTGTAAGAAATCCTTCTTATGAAATTGTATTTCTACTCTTCACATACTATATGTTGACATTAGAGCTATCTAACCAGTTCTCAGGTATATTGTTGTCAAGCGCCTTCAACTTGGTTCTGACTCATAGTGACCTTGTATGGGATTTTCAGGGATTGGCTAGTGGGTTTGAACTGCCGACCTTGTGGTTAACAGTCCAGTGCGAATCCTACAGAACCACACCAGGACTTAAGTTCTCAGCTATACTTAGGAAATTTGCTCTAGGGTATTCTTTCTCACAAGCCATTTTGGAATCTGATTGTTAATAGTATCTTGATGTCTCTGTTGAAACTTCTAATTTAATGGCTTCATTATCTCTTAGAAAGTAAGGAAGCACATTTTTTTTCCCCTTCGATAAATATGCCATTGTATGATAAAGTATATTAAAACCAAGAGATTTGCAGAAGGCTTCTGAATAAATAACTGCATTTCTTGTACAAATTGTATAAAAACTACTCTGGTCTTTTGAAAGCACAGCTTCCCTTTTCAGTACCACAGTGTGCATTTAAGTAGATAATCCTCAGAGTCAGCCTAGTAAACATTTAGAAACTAAAGTGAAAGAGGAGTTGGTGGCCTCATTTGCAGCTGGAATTGTGTTTAGAATCTGTGTTAAAGTATAACAAATGTAAATTAAGGAAAACGTTAGATTTCCTTGTTAGTTTAATAAACAAAGGCAATTTTTGATTAAAATGGTATTTTTATTGGTTATTTTTTTAATTTAATGGAGGCCATAATTACAGAAAATAAGTATTTAACATTTTCAGTTCCTTCTTGCTTTTTTCTGAAAACCATCTGCTTCTGCTTACCAGTAGATAGATACATATTACACATTCTGCTTAAATTAGTTTGGTCTGGGTAGAAAAATTTATATTAAGAGTAATTTTTTTTCCCCAATGAGTCCAGGAAAATAATACATACAGGGGATTTTGACTAGCTGCATTTGCCCCTTCCATGTTGAAAATGGGATTACTGAGCTTCATAGGAAAACAAAAAGAAGTATCAATATATACGACCTCCTAACTGGATGCCACTGAAACATTTGACCCTGTAAAAGCATCAGCACAGAGACACCTTTCTGATCTTTTAATTCAAGTCATGTAGAAGTTTATAAAATACATTCATAAATATAACCTCTCTTATTTTCATGTTGTTGCTAAATGCCATCAAGTCAGTTCTAACTCTTAGTAACCCTTGTAGAGGACTTCCAAGGAGTAGCTAGTGGGTTTGAACCACTGGCCTTGTGGTTAGCATTCAGTGTTTATCCTACAGTGCTGTACCAGGACTCCATTCACTGTCATGCTGTTGTTCTTAGTGCCTTTGAGTCAGTTCTGATTTATAGGGACTCCGATTTTGTATAGGATTTCCAAGGAGCAGCTGGTGGGTTTGAACTGCTGACCTTGTGGTTCAAAGTCCAGTGCTGATGCTACAGCGCCGTCACCACAAAATAGTTACCACAAAATAGTTGTTACTATTATTATGATTCCCACGTCACAGGTGGAAAAACTGAAGTTCAGAGATAAAATAACTTTTCAAAGAACCAATGATGAGTTGGCAGCAAAACTAAGTCTAGAAATAGTTAATCGCATTCAGCATAAAATTTGCATCATAGTATATATATATATACTATTCACTGCTGTGGAGTCAGTTCTGACTCATAGTGACTATAGAACAGAGTAGACCACCTGCACTGTAAATGTGCATAGAAACAGACTGCAGCATCTTTCTCTGGCAGCACAGTTGGCGGTTTGAACCACTAACCCTGAAATTAGCTGCCTGATGCTTAACCCACTGTACTTATGGGCCCTCTATACTGGAGATGTAGAAATCAGTTACTCAATGGACAAAATGTGTTCTTATTTCCAACTTTTCTTTCCTTGTCTATAGAGTCTCTTCTGCTTGTTATGGGTAGGATAACACCTAGAACTGCAATCTGAAAGGCTTTCTTTAGTTCAGTGTTGTGCTTTAAACTAACACACTCTTAAGGTCTCTGTCTTCTACCATTCTCCAGGTCTGTTTCTTTGTTGTCCTTGCTGGCCTAGTGGTTATTTCAAGGATTTTTTTTCCCCCTCTGTGTCCTTACCCTAATGTTTATAGTTCTAAGAATATATATAATCTTCAGGCTGGATTGAGAAATCATTTAGACATGGGGCTCATAGTCTCTTGTCACAGGTTGAAGTTTTTACTGTGGCAAGTGGAATTAAGTTGCTAATTAACATAGACCATGTTACCTTTGTTTCTTAGGTAATATGCATGTGTCACTAGCTGAGGCCCTGGAGGTTCGGGGTGGGCCACTGCAGGAAGAAGAAATATGGGCTGTATTAAATCAAAGTGCTGAGAGTCTACAAGAATTATTCAGAAAAGGTAAGCTGTTTTATTATTGTTCTGAATATCGGTCAGAGATTGTTGTTTTGGTTCGTTATTTCTGTATCTTTGGCACAGTATGGAAAAGGATTACGTTCTCATCTTTTTTGTTATTAAAGACTGGAAAAGCTCAGCTTTTGGTTTCATTCATCTAAACATCATCTTTGTACCTGATATTTTGTCAGGCACTGAAAAGAGAATGATCATCAAAACAGAAACACCCCCTATTTGTTTGAACCTTATAGTCCAGTGCAGAAAATAGCATTAGTAAAATACTCATAAACAAATGGGGAAAATGCAGACATGGCAAGGGCTAAAAAGGAAGGATTCAGTGGTTGTGAGAACCCCTAATAGGAGGACTTGACCTGATTATGGGAAGAAGGGAAAGGAAGACTTCTGTACCAGTCACTAAAATTGAAAGAAAAGAAGAAATTAACCAGGCAAGAGGGAAAAGTATTCCTAGCCAAGATAATTGGTATGCACAGCACTATGTCTTTGAATTGGGATATATAGACTTATAAGTAGTGTTGTGCTTCCCTGTAGAGGTGGTTACTTTTTCCAAATAGCTGTTTGTCATATGGGAGCAGGAAGGATTAGTCACCCCCAAATGCGTAGTGATTACGAATCGGGCTGCGAACCTTAAAGTCAGTGGTTCGAAACTACCAGCTGCTCCGCAGGAGAAAGATGAGGCTTTCTACTCCCGTAAAGATTTACACCCTCGGAAACCCTGTACAGGGTCGCTATGGGTCGGAACCGACTCGACGGCACTTAACAACAACAACAACAATAAACTTGAGGCTTTCTGCTCCCGTAAAGATTTACAGCCTTGGAAACCCTGTGCAGGGTCGCTATGAATCAGAACCTACTCCATGGCACTTAACAACAACAACAACATTAACCTTGAGAGAAGCAAGTGAATATTTGAAGGCAGTGGTAGTCCTCAAAGTGTGATTCCCTAGACTTGCAGCATCAGCATCATCTGAAAACCTATTAGAAATGCAAACACTTGGCCCCACACATGTTGTTATCTGTCATCAAGTAGGGCTACAACACATGGCACCCCTTGCACAACAGAACAAAATGCCGCCAGTCCAGCCCCATCCCGTGGTTGGTGGTGGAGCAGACCCTTGTGATCTACAGACTTTCTGTTGACTGATTTTTAGAAGTCGATTAATAAACCTTCCTTCCTAGTCGTACTCCAGAAGCTCAGGTGAAACCTGTTTAGGATCATATCAACACACACGCCTCCACTGACAGACCATTAGTGACTGCACTTGAGGTTGAGGTACATTGGCTGGAAATGGGAAAGAAGAAATTAACCAGGCAAGAGGGAAAAGTATTCCTAAGCCAAGATATTGGAACTCACAAGCAATATGCACAATCCTACCACACTTGTTTTTCTTGTTAAGTGTGATCATGCCACTATGAGTGATCCTATATCAGGTTTCTGAGGAGCATCTGGCTGGGTTTGAACTGCCAACTTTGTGGTTAACAGTCTAGTGCTTATCATACAGTGCCACATCAGACTCCTACATGAAGCATATTGAATACAAAATTCTGGGGGTGCAGCCCAGGAATTTGTGTTTTTAAAAGTCCTCATAGTTTTGTTTTTTTTTATTTTTTGTAAATTAAGAATCCCTGGAGGATAGACATTTTAAAGATGTGGAGCCATAGGACAGTTTTTGAATGGTAAGGAGGTGACCACCACTGATTAGTACATGAGAGTCTAGACCACAAGAGAAGAATGCTTGGGGACGTATGTAAAATTTTGTTGTTGTTTCATAATCTGTGAACAGGAAGTTGAATAAAACCATTTTAGGGGCCACCTAATTTGGTTACAACTGTAGATGTTTGAAGATCTTTGATTATTCATTCCAAAGACAAGTTTCTCTTTTTATCTAATATCTCTTACCTGCCAATTGACGCAGTGCTAGAGTTGCTCACTCATCTGTGCCAAGAAATCTGAAAGACACTATCTGGCAAACTAGACATCCATATTCATCCCCAATTCTAAAGAACGATGATCCAACAGAGTGTGGAAACCATCGAACAATGTCATTAATATCGCATACAAGTTAAAAAATTTTGCTGACAACAATTTTAAAAAAATACCAAACTATTGCAGTAGTACATCACCAAGGAGCTGCCAGAAATTCAAGCCATCGATTTAGAAGAGAGTGTGGAACTAAGTTTATCATTGTTGACGTCAGATAGAACTTGGCTAAAAGCAGAGAACATGAGAAAGATGTTTACTTGTACTTTATTGACTTTGCAAAGGCATTCGACTGTGGTGAAGAATGGGACTTCTAGAACACTTAATTGTGCTCATATAGAGCAAGAGGCAGTCTATAGAAAAGCACAGAGGGATGCTGAGTGGGTTAAAAGCAGAACTGGTGTGTGTCAGGGTTGTATCCTTTCACCATACTTATTCAATCTGTATTGTTGTTGCTTTAAGTGCTATCAGGTCAGTTCTGACTCATAGTGACCCTGCAGAGTTTGAGGAGCAGCTGATGAGTTTGAATCTTAATTGTGATGTGGCATGGGACCAGGCAGTGTTCTGTTCTATTGTGCATAAGGTCACTATGAGTTGTAGCCTACTCAACAGCACCCTACAACAGAAGCAATGTATGCATGAGAATGCTGGACACTGAATAAGAGTAAGGAAGACCAGAGAATAATTGATATATTTGATTTATGGTGTTAAAAGCAAAGAATATTGAATATAATGTGGACTGGTAGAAGAACAAACAAATCTGTCTTAGAAGAACTATAGCTGGAATGATCCTTAGCAGGGAGGATGGAAAAAGTTCATCTCTTGTAGTTTTGATATGTTATCAAGAGGGACCACAAGGAGAATGACATCATGCTTGGTAAAGTTAGAGGTTCAGAGAAATAGAGAAAGAACTTCAATCAGATGGATTGGCATAGTGGCAGCAATATGGGATCAAATACAACAATTGTGAGGATGGTGCAGGGCTGCTCAGTGTTCTGTCCTGTTATATATAGAGCTGTTATGAATTGGAACCAGCTCTACCTAACAAAAACTAAATGTAGCTATTTTGTACAAATAGTGTTGTTTTGTTTGTATAACTCTAATTTTTTTCAGAATATTGCCTGTACCATCAGAAGTATATGAACTCTAGAATGTGGAGCAGATAGCATGCTCCAAAGGTATTGTTAAAATAAGGCTTTGTTGGTAAAACTACTTGATTATTCATTACAACTCAGTCAGTTAATATTTCGGAAATGTCTCTTACATGTAAGGCATTGTATGGAGAATCCAACTAAGTAGATGTCACTGTTGCCCTCAATGTCTTCATTCAGATCAGAGAGATACTTGTGAGAAATATACCACTTCAGATAGTGAGATGAATGATTTATACTGTAAGGAAAAGAAAGAAAGAGACGAAGGAGAGAGAAAGTCTTGGCTTCAACAGCAGGCAGGTTTATTGAGAGTAAACCTGGGAGGGGGTACTCACCAAAGGAGATCAAGAGCCTGTCTGTTCTCTTCCAGACTGGGGTATTTAAAGGCCTGGTGGTCAGGGTACAGTTCTGGTGAGTTTACAATGGGCAGGGAAGGGGTATGGAGATTTGGGCAAGGGTATGGAGATTTTCCTGAAACCTGGAATTTCTGGGGGTAGGGGGATGAGATTCTCCAGGTGTAACAAAGACCCAAGCTTCCCTGAAGATCAGATGCTCAAGCAGGACCCCATTCAGTGTCAATTGGGGGTAGTTGCAATGCCATTCTGTTGATCAGGCGCAAGGTCCTTCATATACAGACAAGAACTACAGGTGTTCAGAAAACATGGCTCTATAGAATTTGAAACATCTTTTATAATGTGAGTATCTTAGGGTCCTTCATTCCTTGGACTTTCATTCTGTTAATAGAGATTGAATCTTTGAATGCAAAGTACTTGTCATTGAAAGTCAATTTTGTAATGTGGCACTATAGGATAAGCATTCAACCATAGATCCATTTCAACCACAAGGTCAGTGGTTCAGATTCATCAGCTGCTGTATAGGGTTCCTGAGGAGAGGCTGGTGGGTTTAAACTGCTGACCTTGTGGTTAAAACTGCCCTTGCAGTCCAGTGCTTATCCTACATAGTTTGCTCTTAATATTGTCACCTATGCTTCCTTTACCCATATGTCTTGTTGTTGTTGTCAAGTGCTGTCGAGTCGATTACAACCCATAGCGACCCTGTATAGGGATTTCCAGGGAGTAGCTGGTGGAGCTTGAACTGCTGACCTTGCAGTTCAAATGGCTTTGCAGTCTTGCGCATTAACCCACAGCACCACACCAGGACTCCACCCATATGTCTTACTTCCTTCTTTATTTTCAAATTATTTGTATTTAGTCATCTCTTATAGATAGTATATTGCTAGATTTACATTTTAAAACCTAGCTGTTTTAAGTGCAATGGAGTCAGTTCCAATTCATAGCAACCCTGTATAGAGTTTCTGAAGTTTTAAATCTTTCATGGGAGCAGAAAGCCGCATTATTTCTAGGACAGAGTACTTGGGCTCAAACCATCAACCTTGTGGTTCACAGTCCAGTGTGCATCCTATGGAGCCATCATGCTTCCTAAACCTATCTCCTGCTGCTGCTGGTGGTGGTGGTGGTGTGCTATGGAGTCAGTTCCAACTCGTAGCAATCCTACATAGGGTTTCTGAGACTGTAAGTTTTTACGGGAGCAGAAAGTGTATAGTTCTCCTGTGGAATGGCTGGTTGTATTGAACTTCCGACCTTGAGGTTAGCAGCCTGACTTGTAACCACTTGTAACCAGAGCCTTCTAAACCTAGTTGGGGGAAGTAATGCACTTTACTCATGAAATGAAATGTCATTATTGAAGTAAAACTGGAGGACTTGCATTAAGTGTTCTCCTAATGCAACTTCCTAATCACATGCTTTTCAGTTCGCCCTATTAAGTGTTTTAGAAGCATAGTTTATGTCTAAAAATACACAACTCTATTATTTTAGATTTTATGTCATGGATGAATT